TAGAGAAAGGGGGGGAGCCAACATTCAAGGAGCAGCTGAGCTTGGATGTACGAGTGGAAGAAGGTCCAGGGATGAGTAACCTGGTTTGCTCATCAGGGCAAAGAGGATGAAGCTACAGATGGGAGACCCAGGTGGCGCAAAAGCTCAACCATTCTCTGTCTAGCATGGAGCCCTTTTAGCAAACCAATTTCTGGTCAGCAGGTCCGCGTAAAACCCTGGAGGTTTTAAAGAAAAGATCAGAGAACCATTCGTCTGAAATGTTATATAGGGGGTCTGAACTTGAGCAGGGGCTGGACTAGAAGACCTCCAAGAGTCCCTTCCAACTCTGTCCTTCCTTCCTTCCTTCCTTCCTTCCTTCCTTCCTTCCTTCCTTCCTATTATTCTATCATTTAGCGGGCCCTTTTATCTTGATCTTAAACTCTACTGCCTCGTAGAGAAACCACGCAGAAGCCAGCTTGCTCCCAAACCAGCCTCATCCATAGCTGGAATACCAGAAAGCAGTGACAGGTGGGAGATACATTACAAGCCCCCTGACCCCAAGAAAGGCAGCATTCCCCCACCCACCCCCTCCCCAAGTGGAACAAATCAGCCGCCGTGCTAGATTATACTGAGAGGCTTTTTCTGAAATCCTGCTCAGGAATTCCAAAACCAAGAAGCCAGCAGGGTCAGCCCCCACCCCCATTACCCCCACCAAAATGGCCTTTTGCCATCAAGGCAGACTCCGTCCCCTTTAAAGTAGCGTCACCTGCCCCGTGCTTTCCTCGCGCCCGAAGAGACATCTGCACTGCAGATTTTTTTTTTGGACTGAAGAAGAGAGGCGGCTCGCTTCCCAGATAGATCCTGGAGAAGAAAAACCGCCCGTTAACCCAACCCTTCCAGACGATGGAGGGGACAGGGTGGGGGTTTTTGAGGGGAGGGAGAAAAGGGACCTCCCCCCCTACTTCAGATAAAAAAGGGGCTTTGTCTGCATCTCTTCGGCAGTCTCCAAAAGCCAACAGAAGGGGGGGAGGGGCTTTCCCAGAAGCATTAATGTATTCCTGCCCCTCCACCCAAAAAAAAAAAAAAAAAGCAGCAGGGAAGACAATATTTTTTTTTCTTTTTGGAGGAAGATTTAAATGACAATAGATGACTTTCTTTTCGTGGTACATGACGAAAACCACCCAGACACAGAGAGAAAATTGTTTGCCTGGGGGTGGGGGGGAGAAAACCAATTGCCCTTTTCTCTCCCCCCCTCCCGACTGGGTCACCTGCATGGCGTGGGAATTATTCAGGACGCCCTCCAAAATCCTGGATCTTTGGGCGAAAGGGAGGGAGGGAAGGGCGGCAGGCGATGCTTCAAAGCCAGCTAAGTGCCCCCCCGCCCCTTGGGGACCTCGACGGATCCAAAACAGAGCTGGGTGCATCTCCCCCAAATTGCAAGGGGAGATTTTTCGTTCCCCACCCTCTGATCCATCTGGTATTCCCCCATCCCCCACCCCGGTATCAGTGTGGGAGACGATTCCGAGGTGGTGCAAAAACCCACATTCTCGAATAATAATAATAATAAAAAAGAAATCTGGGATTTACTTCCAATCCACCCACGTTCGTTCTCCCATCTGGGTGCGAATCCCCCTCCTCGCCTTGGTAGCAGAGAAAGGCATGTCTCCAGAGCTTCCCCTGCAGTGTTAGGTTAGGGAAGGCTGGGAGACACCTGGAATGGAGGACTTGGGAGAAGGGGTTTTGCAGCTGGGAGCGGGGGAAACACACCCCACGGAAGAACCGTTGTAAGGCGTTAAGGCACCATTCGCCAGACCTCGTCTTGCCGGTAACCTGCAATGCTGTCCCTTGAGCTACCCCAACCGAGTATTGCTTCATTTCCCTGCTAGGGAACATTACCTAAGAATTTTCCACGAGGCTGAACGTGCCACACCCATGGCTGCCTGCCCCTGGGACTGTTGGCATTGCCCCTCACCCCCACCCCCATTATCCCAGCTCCTCCAACCTTCAATTATCCTCTGCTTTGGCACTTAGGGGCTTTTGCTCCCCCCTTTCTAACGTTCTGGCTTTTCCAAGGCAGCTGAAGGCTAAATCCCCATTTTCTCCCAAGCCCTGGGAACTGCCACGCCCTTCTCCTCCCCCTGAGCTCCATCGGAGGGCTCTTCTCTAGGTCTCAGACCCCTCCATGATCCCCACACCACCACCTTTCCAGGGGGGAAAAATCCTTGGGGAGGGGGTCTCCTAAGTGCACCCAGTACACCTTTTGGTCGGTTTGGACTTTCGTGGCAGCTCTCAAAAGGATAAAGAAGTATTTCTCACAAAGAGGGCTGCCCAATCTTGCCTACAAAAGAATATCTGAGGAATCTCAATTAAAAAAAACAAGAAAAGAATATTTAACATGTCAAGACTGGGCAATCTGCAAGGAGGGGCCGTTGCGCTGAAAACTCTGGTTGTGTTAAATACATTATCTTGATTTTGAATGAATGTCCCTATTATGATGGTTGCAAGCCAAAAAAACATGCTTAATTTTGAGCGGTCTCCCCCCTCCAATCCCATCAACCGCTACCTTTTCATTCTTGCCGTATGGTTATTGTTTTCCCCCACAATCTTCCATTTTGGAGGGGGGACAGACGGACGGATGGACAAGAGTCAATTTAAGGAAAGGTTTCAAAGCCCAGAATCTGTATTACGGATTCAATTCTTGTTTTTTTAAAAAAACAAACCACAGTGACCTTTCCTTTCCATAAAAGAGCTGTCCGCTCCCCAGCTATCAGGGAAGAGACTAATTTTTAAATTCCCTTTTTTTTCCGGGGAGGGGGAATGATGCCTTCCACCTGGTTGAGATCCTTTCCATGCTTGCAAACTGCATTGCAAAGCAAAAAAAGAGAGGGGGGGGGGGGCAGGCTGGCTTTGGACTGCATCCAATTGCCGCTTGAATCTCATGTGGGTATGACCGAAGGATCTTCCCTGCTTCCCGCGGAGGGGAGTGGCAGACACCCCCCCTCCCCAGGGATGGGGAGGGCGCCAGGTTGAAGAAAACAGCTGTAATCAGCCATCACATCAACAGCCAGTGACTTTATCCTCCAGGGCAGGGTGCACATAATGGAGCCAAGGGCGGGCGGGAACTGAACCCAGCACCTCCCCCTCCCCACTGGAGTAGGGTTCATCTTCTCAAGCTTTTTAGTGTCACCCCTTAAATTGGGTGTGGATTATATGTATGGGCAGGGAGAGAGAGAGACATTTCCTAGATCAATAAACGTAAAAAAAAAAAAAGAGGTTATTTTAATTGATCCTGCATTCTGCTAGGAGGGGAAAGGGGGTGCTCTGAAGCCCCCTTTTTTCCCCCACCTCACCCTTATCTACCTTGTTTTTAAAGAGGGAAAGATCTGATCTCGGTTAAAAGAACGCCATGGTGCATTTCCTGGCAAATCCATAGACCCTGTCCTTTATTTTTATTTATTTATTTTTGCATTAAATGAAAAGGTGCACTATACACTGCATCCAAGCTAACCTTAATTTTTTGGGGGTGGGTGGGTGGGTAGAAAGCAAATAAAATCCTGAGTCTCGATAAAAATAAAATAATGCAAATGGGCACATTTATTGGCAAATCCACAGCCCTTGTCCTTTATTTTTATTTATTTATTTTTGCTTTAAATGCAAGGGTGCAATATACCCTGTATCCCAGCTAACCTTAATTTTTTTGAGAGTGAGAAAGCAAAAAAAATACTGACTCTCGATAAAAATAAAATAATGCAAATGGGCACATTTATTGGCAAATCCACAGCCCCTGTCCTTTATTTTTATTTATTTTTATTTTGCATTAAATGCAAAGGTGCCCTATACCCTGCATCCCAAAACCTTAATTTTTTAGGGGGGGGGAGGAAGCAAATAAAATGCTGACTCTTGATAAAAATAAATAATGCAAATGGATACATTTATTGGCAAATCCACAACACCTCTCATTTATTTTTATTTATTTATTTTTGCATTAAATGCAAGGATGCACTATACTCTTGCATCTCAACTAACCTTAATTTTGGGGTGGGGGGGCGAGAAAGCAAATAAAATCCTCTCAATAAAAATAAAATAATGCAAATGGGCACATTTATTGGCAAATCCACAGACCCTGTCCTTTATTTTTATTTATTTATTTTTGGCATGAAACGCAAGGGTGCACTATACCCTTGCATCCCAGCTAACCTTAATTTTTTTGAGGGTGAGAAAGCAAAAAAAAATACTGTCTCTCGATAAAAAATAAAATAATGCAAATGGGCACATTTATTGGCAAACCCACAGCCCCCGTCCTTTATTTTAATTTCTGCATTAAATGCAAAGGTGCACCATACTCTTGCATCCCAACTAACCTTAATTTTTTTTGAGGGTGAGAAAGCAAATAAAATCCTCTCAATAAAAATAAAATAATGCAAATGGGCACATTTATTGGCAAACCCACAGCCCCCGTCCTTTATTTTAATTTCTGCATTAAATGCAAAGGTGCACCATACTCTTGCATCCCAACTAACCTTAATTTTTTTTGAGGGTGAGAAAGCAAATAAAATCCTCTCAATAAAAATAAAATAATGCAAATGGGCACATTTATTGGCAAACCCACAGCCCCTGTCCTTTATTTTTACTTATTTATTTTTGGCATGAAACGCAAGGGTGCACTATATACCCTTGCATCCCAGTTAACCTTAATTATTATTTTTTTTTTTTGGGTGGGTGGGAAAAAGCCAAAAAAAAAAAAATCCTGATAAAAATAAAATAATGCAAAGGGTGCACATTTATGGGGCAAATCAGGCAGAGACCCTCTCCCTAGCAATTAACATTTTGCAATTAAATGCAAAAGAGTCCCATTTTTCTCTTCCCCCCCCCCTTTTTTTTTCCCCTTTGCGGTCTCGCGCTTTGGACAAGGCGACCTTAGGGCTCTTCCCGTCAACGCGCACTCCCCCCTCCCCTCCCGCGCAGCCGCCTCCGCCGTTCCTTCCAGCGCCCACTCCCCCCTCCCCCCGCTCCGTCCTTACCAGCGCAAGATTGGGGGGGAACCTGCCCCCTTCAGGTCTCGTCCTCCCGCCTCGGAGGAGCCACCCCCGGCCGAAGAAGAAATAAACGGGGACTGGGCGGCCGGATCAGCCATCTTCGCCTACGACGGGTGCGGGGGGGGTGGGAATATAGATAGAATATATATATATATATAAAAAAAAAAAAACTGTCGACGAAGGCTCTCCTCCAAACGACCGCTCCGCTCAACGGACGAGCACCGACTGGCCAACCTGAGGCGACGAGGCCGCAGTGCGCAGGCGCCAGAAGAGGGCGGTGAGCAAACGTGCCGCGAAGGGGCGTGTCGGGCTGGGGCGCTTTCGAGCGCAGGCGCAGTGAGAGGAGAGGGCGGGGAGGGAGGCGTGTCTTTGGGGGGCTGTCAAAATTCCTTCCTCCCTTTTTTTTTTTTAAACGGGAAGACACTCCTCTATCTACCTATCTATCTATTACTTCCGTATTTATTTAAATTAAATCAGCTTGGGTGGAAAGAGAGAGAGAGAGAGAGATGAGATAGATAGCTAGGTAGGTAGGTAGATAGATAGATGGATGGATGGATGGATGAGATAGGTAGGTAGATAGAGAGATAGATAGATAGATGGATGGATGGATGGATGAGATAGGTAGGTAGGTAGGTAGGTAGGTAGATAGATAGATAGATGGATGGATGGATGGATGGATGGATGGATGGATGGATGGATGGATGGATGGATGAGATAGGTAGGTAGGTAGATAGATGATAGCGATGAGATAGGTAGATAGATAGATAGATAGATAGATAGATAGATGGATGAGATAGGTAGGTAGGTAGGTAGGTAGATAGATGATAGAGATGAGGTAGGTAGGTAGGTAGGTAGATGAGATAGGTAGGTAGGTAGATAGATAGATGAGGGGTAGGTAGGTAGGTAGGTAGATAGATAGATAGATAGATAGATAGATAGATAGATAGATAGATAGATAGATAGATAGATAGATAGATATAGATGAGATAGATGAGATAGGTAGGTAGGTAGGTAGGTAGGTAGGTAGGTAGGTAGGTAGATAGATAGATGAGATATATAGGTAGGTAGGTAGATAAATAGAGACAGATGATAGATAGACAGATAAATAGATATAGAATATAGAGATAGATAGATAGATAAATAGATAGATAGGTAGGTAGATAAATAGATAAATAGACAGACAGACAGATGATAGATAGACAGACAGATAAATATAGAATATAGAGATAGATAGATAGATAGATAGATAGATAGATAGATAGATAGATCTCCACCCAAGCTGATTTAATTTAAATAAATACAGAATTTCTAAACATGACCAACATAGCTTTGTTGTTGTTAGAGAGAATTGACCAGTTAGGTGGCTCAGTGGCTAAAGTGCTGAGCTTTGTCGATCACAAAGGTTGGCGGTTCGAATCCCTCCTATAGGTCTCCTGTGTGAGTAGGGGGTTGGACTAGATGACCTCTAAGTTCCCTTCCAACTCTTTTACTGTTATTATTAACGTGACTTTTTAGGTGCCCAAGAGTTTAGGAAATGATGTCAATGTTTTTTTTTAAAAAAAGATTGATGCTATTTTAATGCCATTTTAAAGATGACTTTTAAGGGATGAGTTATATTTTAACTGTAAATCACGGCACTTCCCTTTTAACTGGATGGCGAGTCATGGCAACCATTATTGTTTTAAAAGAAAAAGTAGACATGCCTCTTTAATAATAATAATAGTAATATTATAATGTCATTGGTTTTGAGTTTGTTCTTGGCTAGTCTTATTGTCAACTGCCATTCTTCTTCTTCTGAATTTTAAATGTGTTGTTTTTTTAAATTACATCCTGTTATTGCATTGATGTTTTTATTGCGTTAGCGGCCATTCCAGACTTTGCTGAGGTCAGATGGGCGGACGTATAAATATAGCCCATATAGTAAATAAATAATAAGAATACTGGAAAAAAAAATTCTCCATACCTATTCAACTCTGGTTGACCTTGGAAAAGTCTTTCTGTAGGCTGGACATAGAAGTTAGAAAAGTTTCTTTTCTTTTCTTTTTTCTTTTTGTATATAACTTTTTATTATTTTTTATAAAAACAAACAAACATTTACTACATCTGTCGCCCTCTCCCTGTGACATCTCGGTGTTATCTTTGGTCCTTCTTCCAAAAAAGGAACTTTCTTCTATCTTGATCTTTATACAAACCATTTTAGTATCTCCTTACTAAAACAAAATTCTGCCTATCAAATTTTTAAATATGTAATCATAAAGCTTTTATCTTTTATCTCTCTTTTCCACCAATAATAGAAGCCGTTCCATATTCTATAATACTCTGTCTCTTCCCTATCTTTAATCCTTAAAGTCAATCGATTCATTTCTGCACAGTCCATACTTTTTTTTAATCATCTCATCTTCCAAAGTAGAAAAGTTTCTTGAAAGCGTGAGTGTGGCAAACCATTTTTATATGATGTGTGTGTTGTCGTCTTTGTAATGTTGTCCCGGAACTCATCAGCAGACATTTTTTAAAAAAAAAAATGTATGAAAAATTCTGTATCAGAAAATGTAAACTTAGCTCTAAATCAGCCAAACATGATTGTATGTTTTTCATACATCAATCCTTGACTTTCGGTAAATCTTTCGTTTACTGAAAAAAAAAGTGACTTCATTTTTGGTCTTTGCATTACAAACATTGCAGCATCCCCATGCTCAGGTGATATCAAAATTCAGGGGATTAGTCACCCGCATGTATTGATGATGGTTGCAGCATCTTGCTGCCGGCTGTCTGCGATTTGGCGGTTCGAATCTCACCAGGCTCAAGGTTGACTCAGCCTTCCATCCTCCTGAGGTCGGTAAAATGAGGAGCCAGATGGTTGACGGTGAGAGGCTGATTCTGTAAACTGCTTAGAGAGAGCTGGAAAGCACTGTGAAGCAGTATATAAGTCTAAGTGCTATTCCTATCATCCTTCCTTTTTTCCTTCCTTCCTTCCTTCCTTCCTTCCTTCCTTCCTTCCTTCCTTCCTTCCTTCCTTCCTTTCTTCCCCCCCTTCCTGTTAGAATGCAGTATTGCAGGTTAGCTCTGCCCACTGCCAGGAGTTCAATCCCAACCTGCTGAAGGTTGACTCAGCCTTCCGTCCTTCTGAGGTCGGTAAAATGGGGACCCAGATTGTTTGGGGGCAAGAGGCTGATTCTGTAAACCTCTTAGAGAGGGCTGGAAAGCACTGTGAAGCGGTATATAAGTCTATTGCTATTGCTATCCCAGGATCACATGGTCACCATTTCTGACTTCCAACAAGCCAAGTCAATGGAGGAAGCCACGTTCGCTTAACAACTGTCTGATTCACTTAATGTCCGCAGCAGAACAGGTTGTAAAATTGAGAGCAACTGCCTCGCTTAGTGATGGAAGTTCCGGTGCCAACTGAGGTCATAAATTGCGAGTTACCTATACCGAGAATCCTTCCAAATGGTTGGGACTACAACTCCCATGACTCCTGCCCATAATGGCTGTGAGTGATGAGAGCCATATAGGTCGTCTTTGATTTACGACAGTTCATTTAGTGAACTTTCAAAGTTACAATGGCACTGAAAAGAGTGCCTTAGGACCGTTTTTCACACTTACGACCGTTGCAGCATCCCCACGGTGGCCTGATCAAAATTCGGATGCTTGGCAACGGGTTCATATTTATGATGGTTGCAGAGTCCCCGGGAACACGTGATCCTCTTTTTACGACCTTCAGACAAGCAAAGTCAATAAGGAAGCCAGATTCGCTTAACAAGAGTGTGACTAACTTAAATGCAATGATTCGCTTAACAACCACGGCATGAAAACAGGGCAAAACTCACTTAATAAATACGTTTCACTTAGCAACATACATTTTGGACTCAGTTGTGGTCATAACTCGAGGACTACCTGTACAGTCCAATCGGGCATCGTTTGGATTCGCTCGTGTTGCCACATCTGGCAGGCCGCTGACGTTGTAAGCGACACGTGGTCCTTGTCATGTGGGATCACAACTCCCATCCTCCCCCCCGCTGTTGGCCTTGGAGGGCCCATCTCAAGACTCCTTAGTGCTGGTCCTGTGCTTGCAAGACACAGAGCATTTAAAGGTTGAAGGCCTTTAAATGAATTGCCCAAACAATTACTGGATATTTTCTGCAAATCGAACCACTCTGCGTGTCTCTTATGGACCTGCAAAATATTGCTTCCCACACACACTATAATTAAAGTCAACACTGGTGTTTTAGGATTCCCATGTCAGTCCCTGCCTGCATTTTTGTCCTCTCCTTTAAAATAAATGACAGGGACGTGGTGGCTCAGTGGCTAAGACGCTGAGCTTGTCGATCGAAAGGGCAGCAGTTCAATGGTTCGAACCTGGTGCCGCGTAACGGGGTGAGCTCCCGTAACTTGTCCCAGCTTCTGCCAACCTAGCAGTTCGAAAGCAGGTAAAAAATGCCAGTAGAAAAATAGGGACCCCCTTTGGTGGGAAGGGAAAGGCGTTCTGTGCGCCTTTGGCGTTGAGTCATGCCGGCCACATGACCACAGAGACGTCTTCGGACAGCGCTGGCTCTTCAGCTTTGAAACGGAGATGAGCAACACCCCCTAGAGTCGGGAACGACTAGCACATAGGTGCAAGGGGAACCTTAATCTTAAAATAAATTACACAATTCTCAGCAGAAGAAAAAAAAAAAGGCACGTTCCAAACCACATGCCCACCAGAGGGCAGCAAAGAGGCAGAAAACCCCAGCTTTTGCTGCCACAGATGAGAGATTTTTTTCCCCCCTGTATAGCTAGTCCTCGCTTAACAACCAATCGTTCTATAACCGTTCAAAGTTGTGACAGCCACAGAACAGGTATACACGGCCACATGTCAGATGGGTCAGCTTTATTAGCAGTCGTGTGTTTTTTGTGGCTTTCTGCAAATGGCTTTGCTTAACGACCACAGCATTTGCTTAACGGCCGTTGTGGAAAAGGACGGAAAATGATGTCCAGTCTTTGACATTATGACCATGAAATTCTGGGCGCAATTCAGTTGAGGACTTATTTGTTAACCTTGACATAGCAAGTCAGTTTGGCGTGGTGGTGAAGGCTCCAGTCTAGAAATCAGGAGGCCATGAGTTCTAATCCCACCTTGGATACAAAGACAGTTGGGTTGGAAGAAATGTCCATCTGGGGTTCAGTTCCAAGTGGGGAGAAAGACACTGGATTCATGGAAGTTGCTTGGAAAGATGCTTTTAATGGTGGACAGGATCACATGCCTTGAAGATCTTGGGTGAAGAAAAAAACAGGGAAGAGATGCTGAGACTGCCTGGGTTTTATGCCTTCTGTTGGGCTTTTGAATTTGAGCTTGTCTTCTGATTGGTTGTCAGACTCCCATGGGGCCAAGCAGGGGTAACTTTGTAAGTTGTCTGTGTCCCAAGCTTGGTTGACTCTTGCTGGGTGATGATGTAATGAAAGGGGCTTTGGGCAATTCCTATTATGGCTCTGCCTGAAGGAGGTAGATCTTTGTTATGTAAAATAGACTGGCCCAAGCCTTAATTGACAAAGTTGGGTGGGGTGGGGTGTGTCTGAATTTCTGCCTCCCTTTTAGGGGAAATATTCTGCCCTTTTTAATATTTCCTAAAATATCTCATTTTCCTAGGAGAGGGGTGGGTGCTCACTTCCTACAGTGGGTGACCAAGGGCCAGCCATATTCTCTCCAGCCCTAGGAAGGAGAACATGGCAAGCCACTTCTGAAAAACCCTGCCAACAAAACTGCAGGGATTTGTCCAGGAAACAATTGAACGGAAGGAAAAAAAAAATATCTCTGCTAAATTCCATTTTCTGTACCATGTTCTATTTTCTATTTCACCCCTGCATAAACTGAAAAGCGAGCTATGTTTGCATTTCTCCTTATGTCCATTGAGAGCACATACACCTAAGACAAATTCCTTGTGTGTCCAATCACACTTGGCCAATAAAGAATTCTATTTCTATTTCTACCAAGGGGCGATGATAAAAACCCAGCCAGAAAATGGCTATAGAAATTCTCTTCAAGTAGCCAGAGGAATGCATTGCATTTCTGAACGTCTTAGGGAAAGTTTGGAGAAAACTGGGTTGCTTTTTTCACCCAGAACTCTATGGCAAAGTCTAAAAAAAAATAATATATATTTTTTAAAGAGAGTGGGCACCTTTGAAACATGCCAAACCTGTTCCTTATAAAGCATTATGAAATGCAAGAAGCAGGAAAAGGATAGTCAGCTTCAAAATTTTACATACAGCTTCCGAAACAAAAATCTTTTGCTTGCTACGGGTAGGGGGAAAAAAATTCCCTATTTGCATATGGTTCCTTTCCTGGATTTTGGCTTTGCATCTGTGATGACCATCAAAGCTCCATTTGCAAAAGAAATTTCAGTGCAAATATAGGGGATTTATAGGGACGCGGTGGCTCAGTGGCTAAGACGTTGAGCTTGTCGATTGAAAGGACGGCAGCTCAGCGGTTCGAATCCCTGGTGCCGCGTAACGGGGTGAGCTCCCATGACTCGTCCCAGCTTCTGCCAACTTAGCAGTTCGAAAGCACGTAAAAAAATGCAAGTAGAAAAACAGGGACCACCTTTGGTGGGAAGGGAACAGCGTTCCGTACCACCAATTGTTTAGTGACCACTCAAAGTTGCAACAGCAGTGGAAAAAAGTGACTTATAACCATTTTTCATACTTAACGTCCGTTGCAGCATCTCTATTGGACACAGGATCAAAATCCGTACAGTTGGCAACTGACTTGTATTTATGACAGTTGCAGGATCCTGGGGTCACGTGATCCCACTCTTACGACCTTCTGCCAGGAAAAGTCAGATTCATTTAACGACCGTGTTACTAACCTAACAACTGCAGTGATTCACTTAACAATTGTGGCAAAAAAAAAAAAGTCCTAAAAAAAGGGGGAAAACTCACTTAACAACTGTCTCGCTTAGCCACGGGAATTTTGGGCTCCACTGTGGTCATATTACAGCTTTGCCCAGAGAGCTGGGTCTTAATTTATGTTATTTTTAATAATGTAATTTACATAAATTATGTCATGCAATTAATTAAGGTTAATTTCCCCTGCTTGCATTTCTCTTTGCTCCGATCTGCAAAGCACCAGAGGGCAGGACAAGAAACAATCGTTGGAAACTAATCAAAGAGAGAAGCTACTTGGAATTAAGGAGAAACTTCCTAACAGGGAGGACAATTAACCAGTGGAACTGCTTGCCTCCAGAAGTTGTGGGCGCTCCATCACTGGAGGTTTTTAAGAAGAGATTGGACAACCATTTGTCTGGAATGATCTAGGGTCTCCTGCTTGAGCAGGGGGTTGGACTAGAAGACCTCTGAGGTCTCTTCCAGCTTCTATTCTATTCTATTCTATTCTATTCTATTCTATTCTATTCTATTCTATTCTATTCTATTCTATCTCTACTCTATTTGGCATCCTGCAGAAGTGTCTCACTACAAAACCTATCATCCAAGGCCACATGGCTGGGAATAGAATAGAATTGATTAGAAGAGAAGAGAAGAGAAGAGAAGAGAAGAGAAGAGAAGAGAAGAGAAGAGAAAATAGGATAGAGTAGAGTAAAGTAGAGTAGAGTAGAATAGAATAGAAAATAGAAGAAAATAGAATAGAGAAGAGAAGAGAAAAGAATAGAATTAGAATAGAATAGAAAATAAAAGAGAAAATAAGGTAGAGAAGAGTAGAATAGAATTGAATTGAAAATAGAAGAAAATAGAATAGAGAATAGAATAGAACAGAACAGAACAGAATAACAAGAGCTGGAAGGGACCCTGGAGGTCATCTAGTCCAACCCCCTGCTCAGGCAGGAAACTCTATCTATATAAACCCTTTCAGACCAAACGATTATCCAAAAATTCGAATGCTGGGAGGGGGCCTGCTACCCCCCTCCCACCTCCTCACTCCCCCCCACCCACCTCCTTCACATTGGGGGAAAAAAAGCATCCTTTAAAAAAGGCCTTCCAAAAAAAAAAAAAAAAACACCCACCCCCCCCTTTTTCTCTTTTTTTTTTTTCCTTTGCTTGTTTTTTTTTTTTTTTTCCCTCTCTCCCTGCGCGAATGCCCATTGGGGAACCCTGGGACTCCATCTCCCGAGATGCCTCGCGCCAGAGCGAGCCCCGGGGAAAAAAGAAAAAAAAATATGCGTCTCCCGCGTCCTCTCTCGGGAGTTGTAGTTCTCCTGGCTTCTCCTGCCAAGCAGGAACGCCCTGCGAGGAGACTACATTTCCCGGCGTGCCTCTCTCCCGAGGCGCTCCCTTTTTCTTTTTTTTCCCCTTCTTTGCACTGCTGGGCGCGTGTTGCAGGCTCCGCCTTTGGCTAGCAGGGCTATGGGGCGGGAAGAGGGGCGGGCGGGAGGCGGCGGCTTGCAAGCGGCTCCGTGTCATTCCTTCGGCAGGCGGCGGCCGCGGAGTTAGCATCGGGGGCTCATCAGACTGGAGGCAGCCGGTAGGGACCCCCTCCTCTTTTTGCAAGCCTCTCCATTGCATCTTTCTGGGGGTTTTTTTTGGGGGGGGGAAGAAATGCATGCCCCCCTATCTTCCCATATGGGTGGGGGTGGGGGGTTGGAGGAAAGATGCCCCCTAGCGTGCAAAGGTGCATCAAAGGGAGACCGCCCCCCCACCCCTAACCCCAATCCCCACTTTCCAATGCAAATATTCCAAAGCAGAGGAAATCCAATTTGCATCTTTTTTGGGGGGGGGGGGAAGAAATGCATGCCCCTCAATCTTCCTATATGGGTGGGGTGTGGGGTGGAGGAAAGATGCCCCCTAGCGTACAAAGGTGCATCAATCACGCCTCCCCTAATCCCCAGCCAGGGACAGCAAAGAGAACCCGCCCCCCCAACCCCAATTCCCACTTTCCAATGCAAATATTCAAAAGCAGAGAAAATGCAATTTGCATCTTTCTGGGGTTTTTTTGGGGGGGGGTAAATAAATGCATGCCCCCCATCTTCCTATATGGGTGGGGGAGTGGAAGAAAGATGCCCCCTACGTGCAAAGGTGCATCAACCACCCCTCCTCTAATCCCCAGCCAGGGACAGCAAAGGGAACCCACCCACCCCCAACCCCAATTCCCATTTTCCAATGCAAATATTCAAAAGCAGAGGAAATGCAATAGTTGGCCTTTGGCCAAGGGGGTTGGGGATGATGGGTGCCCCCAAACATCTGGATTGCCTCTTGGGTGGCTGGAAGAGTTTCCATGCAATTCATCAGCTTTGGGGGAGAGGGGGGGGTGGGGTAGAGGGTTGGGGGAGCTGTCTAGATTATAATTCCTTCTCCCCTTTAATTGCAACGTTTCTGCTTGGTTATGGTTGAGGTTGCCCCAAGATCATGCATCACTCTACGCTGATCCACAAATCACCTAATCCTCATTTGGGTGGGGGTGAGTGAGAGTGGAAAGGCAGGTTGTTGTGCAAAAAACTCAGCCATCTTGTACTACTTGAAGAAATGCCAGGCGAAAGGGTGCACAAACCATCAACAGCAAACAACCTTTTAATCTATCTCCTGGCTGAGATTCAGGTGGATAGCGCTCCCTTTATCGTCCTTTCAAGGAAAGAAAAATCGACCACGGATCCCAGAAAAGGGTGGTGCAATTTTCATTTTTTTTCCCCCTTCCCACTGTTTTTTTTTCTCTTTCTTTCTTATTTCTCCATCTTCCTTTGATATGGGCCTTGTGGCATTTGTTTTTTGTTTTAAAAAAAAAGAAAGAATGGCTTATTACTTGCATTGGGATAAGCAGCTGCTCCGACGGAAGGAATTATGTGCAAAGAATAATTCCTGAACCGGTTTTCCCACATGTTTCTTCATCGCCGTCGTTGATTTCAATTGTGGGTCGGGTTGCAACAACGGGGTAAACTTTTCTGTGGCTAAGCGAGACAACGATTCGGTGAATTTTTGCCCTGCTTTTTATCATCTTTCCGGCCATCCGTTGTTAAGTGAAGCACTGCAGTTGTTAAGTGAGAAGGACGCAAAAGGAGATCACGTGACTTCCGAGCCATGGGCTAGGGGGGGGGGGGGGGGGGGGGGGGGGGGGAGATGCTGAATGGTCGTAAGTGTGAAAAAACCGGTCACAAGTCATTTTATTTCCCAGTGCTGTTGTAACTTTGAATTATTAAGTGAACCGTCATTAAAAGAACTCCCTGTAGTTCTGAAAATCAGCTTGGTGCTCTTCTCCAACCTCCAAATAATTAAGTGTGAAGCATCCACTGTCTTGACCGCTGGATGGTGGGGGTGTGTGTGTGGCTCGAAGAGATGGGAAAAATGAGAACACGAAGGGAAAAATAGAAAAATGAGTACAGATCTGGGAAACCTCACTCCCTTCGTTCTTACCAGCTCAAATGTTTGGGCTTTGATGGGCTATGAAGGTGTCTTTGTTTCAACTGCCTCAAACCTCATTTCAAAGCTTTGTTTAAATCCTATTTTATTCTAGATGGGTATTTCTCAATCGTAGCTACTTCGAAGGGCTTGGACTTCGACTCCCAGAATTCCCACGTAACTTAAAACTTACCATCATTGATAACCGTTGATCTAGAACAGGGATGGGTAACCCTTTTGGTGCCGAGTGCCCAAATCGCACAAATGCACATGCGCGTGCCCGAACCCCCAAAATGCAATGCGAGCGCCCCCCCCCACACATGCACCCCGTCCCCACACATGTGTGTCTGCCCCCCTCCCCCGCGCATGTGCCCCGCTCCATTTCGGCTTCCAGGTCGCTGCAGGAGGCTTTCCAGGTCCAAAATGGGACATGGGGGGGGGGGGGTTGCATGACTCCCCTACACCCCGTTTTAGCTTCCAGGTTGGTCCGGGCAGCAGAAATGGAGTAGGGACGCGTTGGGGAGGGGGGGCCTGCGGAGATCGGGGAAGGCCCCGCTCTCCCCGTGCATGCACAACAGAGACCCAAAGACCAGCTGGCCGGGGGGAGACATGCACGCATGTGCAGTGGAGCTGGGCAGGGGTGACAGGTGGTGTGCCCGCAGAGAGGGCCCTGTGTGCCACCTGTGGCCACGTGTGCCACAGGTTCGCCATCACGGATCTAGACTATCTTTGCAACGTTTTAAGGAGCCCAACGCCTCCTTGTGTTGTGTGTGTATTGTGTTTTTACCTGGCTGTACACCGCCCCGAGTCCTTCGGGAGAGGGGCGGTATAGAAAATAAAATCGTCCTTATCCTTATCCTTGGCGTAATTAGAGGCTTTTTTTTTCCTTGCAAGGAGAATAAAATCGCCAATGATTGATGAGTTACAAATGCTTGGATGGTTCCCTTCGAGATCAGAAAACGGGAATCCCTCTTCTTGACTTCCCCACCTTTTGAGGAACCAAAAATTTGTCCACGCCGAGGAGCTGCGGTCCCATTTCAACTTTCTTGAGACATCCCTGTGTGATCTTCTCGGCTTGACCACAGATAGGTCACACCAAAGGAGAAGAATTGGCATGTTTTCTCCCTCCATCCTCTAAACTGGGGTGTGGGTCTTTCTGTCCTCAAGACGGGACAATCACGCTAAGGTGCACCCTTGGGAATGGCCAGTAAGCCATGGTTTGCCTCATAGAAAGCCGTTCCTTGGATCCTAGAATTTTCAGGATGGAGCCTCCATGGATAGGGGGGCTGTACCTCTAAAAAAGGAAGCGGTGGCTCAGTGACTAAGACGCTGAGTTTGTCGATCGAAAGGTCGGCAGTTCAGCAATTGGAATCCCTAGCGCCGCCGCGGAACGGGGTGAGCTCCCGTGACTTGTCCCAGCTTCTGCCAACCTAGCAGTTCGAAAGCAGGTAAAAAATGCAAGGAGAAAAATAGGGACCACCTTTGGTGGGAAGGGAACAGCGTTTTCCATGCGCCTTTGGCGTTGAGTCATGCCGGCCACATGACCACGGAGACGTCTTCGGACAGCGCTGGCTCTTCGGCTTTGAAACGGAGATGAGCAGCGCCCCCTAGAGTCGGGAACGATTAGCACCTATGTGCGAGGGGAACCTTTAACCTTTTACCTCTAAAACCCAGTTTATGGCAAGGAATAACAAGCCATAGGCATAAAAATAACGGAGTTGGAAGGGATTTTGGAGGCCTTCTATCAAAGAGAAGATTTTATTTCAGACAAGTGGTTGTCCAATCTCTTCTTCAAAACCTCCCGTGTTGGAGCACCCACAACTTCTGGTGGCAAGCAGTTCCACTGATTGTCCTCACTGTTAGCAAATTTCTCCTTAGTTCCAGGTTGCTTCTCTCCTTGATTTGGTTTCCATCTGTTGCTTCTTGTCCTGCCTTCGGGTGCTTTGGAGAATAGGTTGACTCCCCTCTTCTTTGTATTGACAGAGTGCTATCAAGTCACCCCTAGTCCATCTTTTCATTAAACTAGAAAATAACCCAATTCTGCAACCGTTCTTCCTATGTTTGAGCCTCCAGTCCCTTAATCCTCTTTGTTGCTCTTCTCTGCACTCTTTCTAGAATCTCCACATCTTTTTTTTTAAATAACGTGGTGACCAAAACTGGATGCAATATTCCCAAGTATGAGTCTTGGAATACAGTATTCCAAGTATGAATTCCAAGGCATTATTATAAAGTGGTATTAAACCTTCACATGATCTCGATTCTGTCCCTCCGTTAGTTTCCTATTTTTTGCTTACAAGCTCGGTTTAAAAAGTCCCACTGATTTCTGAATGCTGGTGGAGCAAAGGAAAATACCAGGGAAGGGTGGTGGGTTTTTTTCCCCGCTTAAAGAAAAACTCCAGTTTTGCTTTTTCCAGTCTCTGTTCCACAATGTAAAACTGGGCAGGGAGCGGTCTTGAATTCTGACTCACTGCAGCCAGAGGCTTGGCTGGCGAGACTGTTGTGTGGTATGTGAGTGGATTGTGCTTTTTGGCTGGTTTTGTGTGCCTGTGTGTGTATACAAGAAAGGCAGAGCGGCCTTCTTCCTTTCACGGAAGTTGTGTCTTTCAAAGAAGTGTGTGGAAAGGCCCTTGCCAAACTTTCCGCTGGCCAAAACAAGCCACAAACAATTCAAATCTCTGGAGGGAGGGAGATCTGGATTTCTAACAATCGACTTCCTTTAAAAAAAAAACAAAACTGCCCAAATTGGACAGAAAACAGCCCAGAGAAGGAAAAACACCCCCCCCCCCAAAAAATCCCTTGTGGAAAAGAAGATCAAAAGATATGAGATTTAATTTGGGTGGGGGTGGGAGAAATAAAAATTTCTAACTTAAGTGTGCCATGCTTGCTTCCATTTTTTCTTTTTTTTTAAGAAGGAGGGGGGAAAAAAGAGACGATTTTCTCAAAATTTGGCCTCTTTCCCAGCTCTTGGTTTTTCCAGAAAGCTAAAAGGAAGGAGAGCCATTTTAATTCTGTAGAAGTGGTTTTAAAAGCCTCGCGCCCTATTTTAGAGGAATTGTGCCCTCTGGGTTGAGATTCCCATCACTCCCAAATCCAGTTCTTCTGCCTTTTCAGTTGTTGCTGCTATCTGATTGTTCA